CCCCCCCCCTTCCCCCGAAAAAACTCACCATCAATCGAACGTTCGTTCAATCATAGTTCTCGCCAGTCGCACATACTCCCCCCCCCACCACACACACACGCACCACCCTCCAACACACACACTCTCTCACACACACACACACTCTCTCTCTCTCTCTCTCCCACTATGTCCTACCAACCCCCTCCCAAACCGGCCCCTCCTCCCCGGCCAGCCAAGCCACCTGTGCCCGAGCCGCCGACCTCGTCCGGTCTCCCGCCGCCACCGCTGCCTCCGCCGGCACACTCGCCTGCGCCACCCATGCCCGCACCGCTGCACCCTGCCGGGAACCGCGGCCATGCCGGATCGGCACCCGGGCCTGCCCTCCCTCCTCCGCCGCCGGTACTTGCGCTCGATGCGACAGGGGTCGACGAGGCGTACTACGACAACCTCGAGGACGACGTCAACGATGACGACGACGACGACGACGACGACAACTACGATGATGATGACGATGATGATGACGATGACGTCGACGAAGAGGAAGAGCTGCGGAGGCGCAGGGCTACCGGCCGATCTGACGATGGCCTCTTCGGCAATGTCCTCTCCGAGCTGATCAAGGCCCGCGTGCCCGGACGGAGGCAGTCGGGCAGGTCTCGCAGCGGACGGACGCTGCCGTCGACGCCTGGTGAGCCGTCCCGGCTCTCATCGTCGTCAATGGCTGCTGCAGCTGCCGCACGGGCGGCAGGTCCAGTCAGAGGCGGTGGGAACGGCTCTCCGCGTCGGCTCGCCCACGATGGCTCGCTCACTACGCCGTCGGGCTCGCCGCGCTCCAAGCGGGCGTCGCTGGCGGCAGACGACTCGCTGACCGAGGGCATTTCGTCGAACGACGACGAGACGGCCGAAGACTTCTCCGACGACGAATACTCGACCATGCTGGCGTATGGCCACTTTCAGTCGGCCAACGCGTCCAAGGACTCGTTCCGCTACGTCGCCAACACCCTCCTGCACTCGTCGCTCTCCATCGATGACCCGACGCTTCCGCCGCCGCTCCCGCCGCCAGCCGCCGCGCCTTCTAACCTCAGCACCCGCAGCCCGCCGCCGCCGCCGGCCGGCTCACTCGCCACCCCGGCAAGCCGCCAGGCCTACCGTGCCCAGCGCGCCTCGACCTCGGGCACCTTTGGCCTCCTGTCTGAGCGCCCCAAGAAGCCCGCCCGCCCGCCGCCGCGCCCGCCTAGCATGCCGTCGTCGCCCGCCTCATCGCCGCCGGTCTCACCGTCATCGGGCTCGTTCCCCGCTCCGCCGCCGGCGCTCTCGACCCGTCCCCCGCCGGTCGGCCCGCGGGTCTCGTCGCAGCGCTCGTCAACGATAACCGCGCTCTCGCGGAGCGCGCCGCCGCTTCCGCGCTCGCGGCCGTCGTCGATGCCGCTCAAGGCCCGCATCGCCCCGCCGTCGTCGTCGCTCGGCAAGCGCATGTCCGCGCCCGTCGACTCCTTCCGCACCTCGACTCCGCCACCGCCCGCCCTCCTCCTCGCTCCGCTCCCGCTCGTCCCGCGGCTCGCGCCCGACACCCGCACCGCCCTCGAGTCGGCCCGCTCCCGCGGCAAGCCGTCGTCGTCGCGGTCCGGCACTGCGCCCGGTGGCTCCCAGTCGCCGCGCGGTAAGCGGTTCTCACGCGACCTCTCGACCCGCACGCCGCCGCCACCGCCGGCCCCAGCGCCTGCAACCGCCTCGCCGCCGCGGACCAAGCCACGGGTCTCGGTGCCGGGCGCCGACGCGCAAGCCAAGAAGACCAAGATGAACCTCGCTCGCGACATCAACCTTCTCGGCGCTGCTCGCGGCATTTTCGAGCCCGAGCCTGTTGCGGAAGAATACGTTGATCGGGCCGACCTCCGATGGATGACCGCCGACGAGCACATCGCCGCCTTTGGCGAGGGCTCGACCGAGATCCGCGAGATCGACGCCGCCTCGCTCGCTGCCCTCGTGGAGCAGGCCACCCACAAGCGGTCGAACACCAAGCTCCAGATGCAGCTCCTCCTCTCGTACCCAGGCTACACCACAGCCCACGACCTGCTTGCTGCCATCATCGACCGCTACTGCATGGAAGTGCCGCTCGGCCGCGAGAAGGAGGTCATCCCGGTCCGGGTCCAGGCCTTCCACATGCTCAAGCTCTGGCTCGCCGAGCGCCCGTTCGACTACACCGAAGACCCCAAGCTGGCCGACGCGCTCCGCGCCTTTTTCGACGGCACTCTCCCCTCGATGGGCCTCGCCCGCACCGGCCAGGTCCTCAAGCGCTGCCTCGCAAAGACGCTCGAAACATACTGCGGTGACGGCCAGTCGCTCAAGGCCTCAGACATCCTCTCGGCCCACGCCATGATCAAGGCGCCCGCCGCCGCCACCATGGGCCTCGCCTGGACCGACATCTCGGACAAGATCCTCTCGGAGCAAGTTACCCTCTATGATGTCGAGCTGTTCAAGAAGATTGGCGTCCGCGAGCTGTTCAACAAGGCCTGGTCCGACAAGCACCGCAAGCATGAGCGCGCGCCCAACGTGCTTGCCGTCATCTCATGGTTCAACCACTTTTCGTCGTGGATCATCACCCAGATCGTCTCCGAGACTTCGTTCAAGGCCCGCGTTAAGCTCGTCGCCCGCTTCATCACCCTCGGCAACCACTTCCGCGTCCTCAATAACCTCTCGGGCGTCATGGCCGTCGTCGCCGCTCTCAAAACCGCAGAGGTCAAGCGCCTCGCAAAGACCTGGGAAAAGATGTCGTCCGCCGACATGCTCCGCTTCGAAGCCCTCACCGACATCGTCTCCATGAAGAAGAACTACGCCAACATGCGCCGCATCGCGAACTCCACCCCCGATGACGGCTTCTGCCTCCCCTACCTCGGCATGTACCTCTCAGACCTGACCTTTATGGAGGACGGCAATGTCGACACCGTCGACGACGGCCTCATCAACTTTCGCAAGTGGCGCGGTGTTGCCTCCATCATCGGCATCATCCAGCGCCATCAGAAGATGCAGTTCAACAAGCCTGTCCACACCGCCGTCCGCGCCTACATCAAGACCGCCACCATCTTTGACGACGAGCGCGCCTACGAGGAGTCGCTCCTCCGCGAGCCGCGTAAGAAGAAGCGCAAGAAGGCTACCAAGAAGTAGTTTGCGCCCCTCCCGTACTCAATCTCTCTCTCTCCACCCCCCTTTCTCCGTCCCCTTCGCTTGCTCGCGATCTCCTGCGTTGGGGTTTTTGCTTCACAAACTACATCAGACGTCGCTCGCGACATCGTCATCATCATACACCCTCCCTCCCTCCAGAGCCTTGCAGTGCATCTGCTGCCACCGCACCCTCACACTCGACGCCCATACATACCGGGGTGGAGCGCAAGAGCCAAAGGCGGTGGCAAGACCATCATGCCTTTTGCCGCAGCGCCGTCGTGGTGAACGACGCCAAGTAGTTGCGGTAGTTGACCTTGACAAAGGCGGCGAGAGCCTCGACGGCGGCGGCAAACGATCCTACGTTGCGCTCCTCGCCGGGCCGCGGGAAACGCCCGCTGAGCATCGCGCACCGGGCCCGCTTCACAGTCCAGTTCTGCAGCGCCCGCGAGACCGACTTGTGGTTCTTGACGTGCATCAGCTTGGCCGCCCGCGTCTGCGTCAGCCCCGTGTGGTTCATCAGCAGATACCACGCCAGCTGCCGCGCGAGATGCACCAGCGGCTTCTTGGACGTCGACCGGACCACGTCCGTCGTCATGCCAAAGCCGCCGGCCACAGCCTGCACAATCGTCCGCACCAGCGGCTTGGCCGCGCTCAGCGAGTCACCACCGCCACCGCCCGCCCACTGCAGACCTGCGAGTCCGAATCCAGGTCTCCAATCGGGGCGATGCGCTTGCGCGAGAGGTTGGCCACCACCGCCGTTTCAGGCGCAGCAGCCTCCTCCTCACCATGATCATCGCCATCGCCATCGCCATCGCCAGCCTCGCCGAGGTCGAGCTTCCGGTTGCGTGCCCGTGGCGACGCCGACGGCGGCGATGAGCTGACAGCCCGCGGCGATGGGCCGCGCGACTGCGCCGGCGAGCTTGCCGAGCTGCCCGAGCGCTGCGACGAGACCGACCGCCGCGACGAGGGCGACCGCCGTGACCGAGTCAAGCATGCCTCGGGACTGGGTGTCCGCCCGGTCGGCGTCTGGGGCGACGCAAGCAGGCGCGACGCAAGCAGGAGCGAGTCAAAGCCCGACGGCGAGAGCGGCGGGTCGGGCGAGGCCGGAGGTTGGCGGCGGCGGCGGCGGAAGGACGACGATGATGACGACGACGGCGGCGGCGGCGATGTGTGGCCCGACGGCGAGGCGAGGACGGCCTGGCGCTTGTTGGCCGGCCCGCCACAGGCATACTCATAGCCCAGGCCGGCACCAGAGTCACCCCGTCCGCGCTTGCGTCCGCTCTTCCCCGCCCCTTCCGCTTCCCTCCGGGGGCTGCCGGCAGGAAAAGACCGTGCGTGGCCCGGGCGGCAATGGATAGCGCTGCCGGTGGCGGTAGATTCTACCGCCAAACCGGAGTGGCTGCCGGCCGGGCGGCACTTTGTAGAATCTACGCTCGAGCCGCCAGCCGAGCTCGCCGGCTGGCGGAAGACAATGGGGCCAGACAGCTCGAGGCAGCTTGGGTTTCGGCTAAGGGTAGCTCTAGTGTATGTGGGTGTGCTCCGCATGGTGGGACTGGTGCCACTCGCCTGGAGCACTGGCAGAGCTGTCGTCCGTCCCATGCCGTCACTCGCTGGCCGCTGCGTGGGTCAAGTGCTCCCGCCGCTCCGCCCACCAATCGATTTTGCCGCTGCCTGTTTTTGTGGGACATTTGCGCTGCCTCCTTTCTCGCCTGCTTCCTGCCGCCGGTCCAGAACCACGGCCCAAGGCCATGGAATGCGGCATCCACTTCTAGATCTCCCTTCGCAAGCCTTGACGGCCCCTCCTCGCCCCTCCAATATCAGTATCCTCTTCGACACATGTCATGTCTCTCGCTGCACTTGTCCTGCCAGCGGCCTTTGAGGGCGAGCGACAGCGATCAAAGCAAGAGAGACACAATCTGACGCCATCACATCGTTGCAGAGGCTATAGCGTAGCTTGAGTTGAAAAATCTTCTCGTTGCGACAAGCTCTGCCATGCCTACAGTCCTAGACGCGTAAGCGGTTTGCCGTCTCAGAAAAGCCGATCACGAATTGCACAAAGTGCGCCAATCGCCACTTCATTTTGGCGCCATTTCCACCCTCGTCCCCTGCTTCACCCCCATCTACGCACCAACCACCCCTCTCCGCCCCCCCCCCCTCCACACACAGCTGGCCAGCATGCTCACACTACGGGACAATCAGATCTCATCTCCGCCCGCGATCTCGAGCCATCTGCGGCTCTACCGTTCCAATCGCACCGAGGCAATCAAGAAAATGACGAGTGACTGCGCATGGCATGGAGGGAGGTAAAGTTGGCCCACTGGCGTCTTCAACCCCCCCTGGTACGCGGAAGGTGGCCCTGATTTCAACAGCGTTCCGGCTACAGAATTTGATTGGCTTGCACTACGTCTGTACGCGGTGGTGTCGTTGTGGGTGAGACAGAGATGCCTGTGGCCGGCGTGCGTGTTTGACCGCGGTCAATGTGCTGTCCGAGGTTGCTTCTTGCATCCCGCCACACTCGACTCGGCATCATGCTGCTCGATCGGGCGCGACAAGTGGTCATCATGGGCATGCGGATACAGCAGACGAGTGTGGGCCGAGCCCAGGGGGCTGCTGCCGCCGCGGCAGCCACCGAGGTCTCCGAGTGGCTGGCACTGGTTGCCGAGGTGGCGAAAGAGGCGTCGGCGTTGTCTGGTGCGAACAGAGAGGCTGGGGCTGAGGCCGAGGCTGATGCCTCCGCCGGGCTCGCCGACGCTATTGCGACGGCCGAAGACGCCCAGATTGACGAGATGTACCATTTGGCGCTGGATGAGGCGGCGTGTCCGGGCGGCGGCGGCGGCGGAGCGTATGTGGCGATCGCGCCGGGTGCAGGAGGGGCGGATGCCGGCGAGTGGGCGCAGATGCTGGGCGCGATGTATCTGCGATGGCACGGGCGACACGCGCGCGGGCGTGATGCCTCGCAGGCGGCATGCAATGCAGCCGGGGCCCATGGCGTCGATCTTGTGCTTCCGGGCGTGCGGGCCGAGGGCTGGCTGGCGCACGAGACGGGCGTCCACAAGCTGGTCCGCCGCTCGCCCTTTGCCAGCGGGCGGCGGCACACCTCGTTTGCCTCTGTACGAGTCCTCCCACTGCCTGGCGAGGCTGCGCGCGGCCCCGACGGTGACTCGCTCCTTGCCTCGCCCGACGTGAGGGTTGAGACGTTCCGGGCGTCGGGGCCGGGCGGGCAGAGCGTGAACACCACCGACTCGGCCGTCCGCCTCACCCACCTGCCGACCGGCATCTCGGCCGTCGCCGCCGATCGCTCGCAGGGTGGGAACAAGCGGACAGCAGCACGGACGCTGGCTGCCAAACTAGCTGCTGCCGCCGCCGATGCTGCCGCCGCCGACTCGGCTGCCGCCTATGCCGCTCTGGATCGCAATGCTTTTGGTTCGGGTGGTGTGGTGCGGTCGTACGTGCTCGACCCGTACACCATGGTCAAGGATGCTGCCACAAGCATCAAGACGCCACTGGTCCACGATGTGCTTGACGGTGGTGCCTCGCTCGACACACTCCTTGTCGCCGGCCTCGAGGCCCGCCTCGCGTCGCCGGCCCACTGATCACTGCTTTACTCGCGCCGGCGCTTCGATCCGGCCTTGGCCTTCTTGCTTTTGGTCTTGCCCTTGCCCTTGGTCTTGGCCTTGGCAACAACCTCGACCTCAGCCGGGGCCTTGGCCTTACCCTTGGCCTTACCCTTGGCCTTGGCCTTGGCCTTGGCCTTACCCTTGCCGCCGGTGGTCTTGGCCTTCTTCTGCGCCGGCTCCTCGTCGTCCTCCTCGTCAAACACGACGTCGTCATGGTCGATGTCCTCGGTGATGGCGACAGCTTCGGCCTCGGCCTCGACCTCGACCTCGGGCTTGGCGCGCGTGGCACTGACCGGGCCGACGGCGACGGTGGTGAGACGGGCGCCCGAGTCGATGGTGCCGATGTGGGCGGCGGCAAAGTTGTCGTCGGGCGTGCCGATGGCCCAGATGGCCATGGTGCCGTCGGATGAGGCCGAGGCGAGAAAGGCGACGAGACCGTCAAAGTCGTGCGCGGCGGCGTGCGGCGGGCGGAAGACGGCGAGCGAGCGGACGCGCGCCGTGGTCGGCGCTTCGAGCTCGTGGATCGGCTCGCCGGCGGCGACGTCGTAGATGGTGACCAGTCCCGAGTCGAGAGCAACCGCGATATACGTGTCGTTGAGCCAGACGGCGTCGGAGAGCGCGGCGCGCGGCGGCGTATCGTACGAGCCAATCTCGGCGCCGTCCTCGGCCGAGACGACGCGGAGCGCGGCGCGGTCGGCGACGAGGTACGCCAAGCCGGACGGTGCCCACGCCAGCGCACGCGGTTCAGCCATGCTGCGGGTCGAGAACTGGGCACGCCCGGTGAGCAAGTTCCACATCTTGAGCCCGCCGGCGGCATCGACCGAAATGGCGAGCCGGCCCGAGGGATGCACAGCAACTCGCCGCACGCCGGCCTTGTGTCCACGCAGCGCCTTGATCCGCGCCCAGTCCCGCGTCCGCCACAGGCACAACGTCGTGTCTGCCGACGCCGTCACCATGTACCCGTCGCCAAAGAACGCCAGATCGTCGACCGCGCCCGAGTGTTCCAGCAGCGAGCCGCGCTCGCGCATCTTGACCATGTCAAACAGCTGGACCGAGTCGTCGGCGGCGCCGGACACCATGTGCTTGCCGGTCTCTGAGAACGCCACCACCCGGACGGATGCCGTGTGCGGTTCCGCACCAAAGATGGTCAGATGACTGACACTGCGCCGCGTCGATCGATATCCTCACTGTGAGTGACCTGCGCAACCGAAAGCGGGCGGTGTGTGTGTGGGGGGGCGGTGTGTGTGGTGGGGGGGGGGGGGGGCTTGTATAAAAATTGTTACCCCACCCCCCACCCACCCCCCATCCCCCTTCCTCCTCCTCCGGCTCGACGTACCTCATGTCAGCTTCGACCAGCACCTCGTAGCCAAACAGCTTGTGGGTGTAGGTACCTGCGCACAGGACAAAGGAGGTCATTCCTGATGTGTGTACAGGGAGTGGAGTGTGTATGAGTGTGTATGTGGGGGAGATAGGGGTGTGCACGGAGTGTGTTGTGGAGGCGAGCGGTGGCTGTGGCTGCCGTCGTCCGAAGATGGATGCGGTGATGGGAAGGGAGGTGGGGGGTGGGGGGAGGGGGGAGGGGGGGGGGGGGGGAGGGGGGGATGGCCACATGCACCACATGCACCACATGTACCACACTACCACACGCGGCCATTACCATGTCACTGCCCACTGCGGTATCATTCAGGATGATGATGATGATGCCGATGGTGATGATGATGATGGTGATGGTGATGATGATGGTGGTGGTGGTAGCGATGACGGTCTTGGTGGCGATGATGGTGACGGCCGATGATGGTGGCGATGAGGTTGAAGAAGACAACAACGATGACCTTGACGATGACAACGATGATGATGACAATGATGACGAAGACGAAGACGACGACGATGATTACCCATGACCATGACCACAACCATGACCATGACCACAACCATGACCATGACCACAACCATGACCATGACCACAACCATGACCATGACCATGACCACAACCATGACCATGACCACAACCATGACCATGACCACAACCATGACCATGACCAGACCCACGAAGACATA